CAGTCCAAACCGGCATCGGCCACCCCCGTAGCCCAGACTGCCAGCATGAAGCCTGCAGATCCCAAGGTACGCAGTTCATTCTCCCTTCTTGACCACCAGGAGGCGCTCTCCAGAGCAGGTGAACTGGGGGTACTCCTGAAACCTGCAGGATCTACCAGAAAGGGGGCACTCCACTTGCACTTTTACCAACACCGGCAAAATTGTTTGTGATGACAAAAAATGAGATAAATGTGCTTTGATTTCTCTGACCTCAGATACGAAGAGTTGCAGATGTGCAACTACATATAGGCACATGGTTTGTGATTCAAGGATCCTCACAGATAAGTTCAGAGCTGTAAAATTTGGCAAATTTGCCAAGTAGTGTTAGCAAGTACCTAATTCTGAGTTGTTCAGGGCAGTACTCAGGGTGGCAGGACTGAGGGGCAGTACTCATAGAGCAGGGCTTGTGCCTGTTGCCTTGCCCTGTGTAAGAGCATTAAACCAACAGGAGCAAGATGGACAACAGCAACAGAGCCTTAAATTAGTGTACTAGAGTGGCCAGTTGAAAAACCTCTGTTAGAAAGGTGTAATGTCGCAGCACTATCCTGAATGAGCGCAGCGGTCGGGGGCAGAGAGCTGAGTCCAGGTGAGGACTGGTGAGCAGGCAGGCAAACAGAAGCACAATCTGAGCTCTCAATGGCAAGCAGAAGTCCAAGGCAAAGCGTGAAGGATAATCTGCAAGAGAGCTCGAGGGAGGAAGTCGGGTTTGTCACGCAGAAGCCAGTCCAAAGCAAACTGGAAGCAGGCCAGACTGGAACACGGGAGAAGGCAGGCAGAGCTCAGGGGAAGATCCAGAGGCAGAGTCAGAGCGAGGTGTCATCAAAGTCAGCAGACAAGCAAGCACACGGCAATTGAGCTGAGAGGTACTGTCCGGGCTGGACTTCAGTACCCTGCTGGTTAAAGGTAAATGTTTGATTCATGCGCACAGGTAGATTCGATCTCCGGCCTGATCTTGTTTCACGGCAGCCGGATGCTTGCTGTGGTGTTTCAAGTGCGCAGATCCATGGGAGCAACTAGGACAAAACCTTAGCCTCTGGGCTGCTTGCTGTTTGAGCTGGTGGCTGTTTGAAAAGGTGTTGTCAGGATTCGGAGTCAGTGGGCGTTCTGTTCAGCGACAGCCTGCTGCTGCAGTCCCATTGTGTACCTGGGTGTGTGTCAGTCAGACCTGCAGCTTGTGCGCTGCCTCGCTGGTGCTGCTCTGTCCTCAGCTGTTAAAAGCGAGCTACTTACATAGTGATAGAAATTTATTACAGGTATTCTCTCTTAAATTTGCTTTGGTATTTTCCTACTGTTGATATCCTTTGTAAAAGATTAAAGTATCTGTATCCACGGGGACAGACTTGGCATGTTGACTCCTGTGTTTGAGGACAGAGGCTTGTGATTACACTTGGCTACAGCACTGTGGCTATAAATAATACAGCCTGTTGATATTGTTGCCAGTTTCACCCTGAGAGAAAGCTAATCATGAAATACCCCTGGAAACAATTGTGATCAGTGTTAACTGAAGAATGAAAGTTGGAGTCTTGTTTTCCAGAAACTCTATAGGTTTGTGTTTGCATAGCATTGTGATACAAAACAAGACTGGTAAACAGTGCTGCTGGATTTACTCTGGGACACTCTGAGTACAGTAAGTTGTTTGTGGAGAGAAAACAGCTCAGGCCCAGGGCAGAGTCCTCATGGCTCAGCTGTGCTTCCCAAATCAGCTGCTCGCCCTGCAGGCAGAAGCTCATCGCGAGCCCCTGCCTGAGCCCCAGCATGCAGCCTGTATCTCTCAGACTCTGCTGGAACCAAGGAGAGGATTGAAAAGGCAAACAGATCTGTGCAGAATTCGTAACTTCCAGAGGGATTTTCATAGCCCTGTTCTGAATGCGGCATCGTCTTCGAAGATACAGCCTGGTTTATGATTTTGCTGGAATGCTGCTTTGTTCCTCTCTGTGTCGGATAAGCCACAAGGACTCTGTGTCATCTAATGGATTGCTGCGATGTTTCTCGTTGGCTCCTTGCTGGGAGGTTGCAGGTTCAGCTCCCATGTGGGGCACAGCTCTCGTGTCCTGGAGCCAGGGTGCTCCGCTCAGCCTGCTCCGGACAAACACACGGCTTCAGACAGCCGCGCCGGTCGGGTGAAGTGTGTGTCAGCAGAGGGAGAAGCTGGTGTGTGTGTGTGGGATGGGAGGGGGGCGCATGTGTGTCAGGTGTTTGAAATGCCTTCTCCATCTCGTAGAAAGCACCGCCGTCGCCCGCCAAATCGGCCGCACCCGCCGCCGCGGCCAGCAAGGGCAAGCCGGAGGGCAAGCCGAAAGAGGCACCGCAGCAGGTCCCCAAGGAGCCGCCCAAGGTAGGCCTCCTCACCCCTGCGCCCTGCGCGTGACTCCAGCCCCGGCGCCCTCATGCTGGGGGAGACGGGCTCTTGGCTCCGACCTGTCTGCTGAACCGCTTCACCGCTAAGCTCCGAAACGATCCCCTGTGTCGTCTCTTTTTTGCACTTCGACCAGTTGAAGTTTCTTTCACAGAATCAAGTACGTCTTTCAGATCTTCATCTTGGAAAATTCTTCGCCATTCAGTGAGAGTGTCTTTGGCTGGGTCAGGAGATGTGGCGTGCTGAGGGCCAGTTCAGTAGCCGACCCGTTTCCCTGCAGTGCAGCTCCCTGCTCCGGGTGCCGTGTGGAGTGTCGTCCTTGTGACGGGCTCCTCCAGCCGCTCGGACACAACTGACAGGTGGAGGCCATAGCTCTTGGGCAGGAAGCCAGTTGGAAGGGAGAAGTACTGGCAGTGAACCTGTTGGAGCTGCTTTCTCACAGCTCTCTCTGGTCTCAGAGGGGCGCAGAGCTCAGTCAGCCTCCTTGGTCAGGAACCCTGCGGCCAGCAGACAA